GCGAATCCCTGAAGTGCGTGACACATATCGTGAGAGCACGCGCACCGGGCAGAGAAGAGGGGAAGCCGCCTCCTCCTCAGAATTATGGGGAGGAGGAAAAAGTCCAGCCAATGAAATTGGCCCGGATTTGAAGGAAGTATTAATGTCTTTTGGGCACAAAGGGTGGGTTGGGGCAGAAAACAGCAGACCCGCCATCTGCCCGGATCCTGAGGTATGCGGGAGCCACTGAGAGGGCGGTTTGGTCGCTCACTCTCTTGACTAATGCCAGTGCCAGCAGCAAGGCAGTTGTAAGTGACAGGAACTTGAGTGAGACCTGGTCCAAGGGCTCAAATGGGGCTTCAGATAAGCCATGCAGAACCACCGTTAGATCCCACTGGGGAATTAGCGGGCGGGACACAGGTCTGTTCCTTCTGACACCTTTTAGAAAACGTTTTGTGAGGGGATGATTGAAAACAGACCTATCACCAAAACCCTGGTGACAGGATGAGATAGCTGCAGCATATGTTTTAATAGTGCTGAATGCGAGGCCCCTGTCCGTCCGTATCTGCAGAAACGATAGGACATCCGCCAGCTGGCAGGAGAGCGCTTGAACATTCCGCTCTGCGCCCCAGTTCTAGAAAGCTGCCCATTTAGCAGCGTAAGATGCAACGGTAGAGGGCGCCCACGTACTCTGAATCGTGGTGACCACACCATGCGGCAGCCCAGAATCCATGAGCGTGACCGCTCAGCGGCCAGACCCACAGCCGATGGCCTATTTCCAGAGGATGTTAGATTATCCCATCCGCCTGGGGAGAGGCGTCCTCCCTTCGCGGGATTCTCCACGGGGAGCCGGACAGTAGCGCTTGCAGGTCCGGAAACCATGACGCGGACATGCGTCTGGGAGCCACCAGAATTACCGAGAGCTGTTCTGACCGAACTCGGTCCAGGAGACGGGGAATCAGAGGGACTGGTGGAAACGCATAAAGGAGCGCTCGAGGCCCGGGCCGGTGTGAGAAGGCGTCCGCTCCGATCGGGGGGGGGGGGGGGGGGGGGTCCCGGAGACTCAGGGAAAACCACAGGCGACACTGAGCGTTTTCGCGAGCCGTGAACAGATCCACAGACGTTTCCCCGAACCTTATCCAGATCTGTGATATCAGTGCGGGATGCAGACGCCAGTCGGAGTCGCGGGGACCCCCTTCTCGACAGGATGTCTGCCGCTACATTCAGGATCCCCGGAATGTAGGTGGCACAGCAGGTGGACATGTGCCCAACACAGTAAATATATGGCTATGCGCAATAGAGGGGGGGATCAAACTCCCCCTTGGCGATTTATGTAGGCTGCCGCCACCTGGCTGTCTGTGTGAACTTCGACATGACGGCCATCGAGAAGGGCAGCGAAGTATCTGAACACATTCTTCACTGTCATAAGCTCCAACACATTTATGTGCTCGTGCGTGTGGGAGGGCCAGCGATTTGCCGCGTATGGGACAAGCACGTGCCCCCCACCCCAGACAGTGACGCATCCGTAAACACAGATACGTGTGACGCAGGACATCCGATGGGAATCCCGTGTGAGATGATGCAGGGATTCCCCCAGTGAGCGAGGTCCCCGCCCACTGAGGGGGAAACCCTCAACATACGTCTCTTCTGACGCATCGGGCGTACCCAGAGGCGGATGAACCAACTTGCAGGTGCCTCGAGTGCAATAACCCCAGCAGCACAACCGAGTGGGCTGCAGCCATCATGCCCAGAAGTCTCATGACCAGCAGGGCTCTCATGATCTTGCGGGGTTGCACGCGGGAGATCAGCGTGGTGAGATCTGCCGCTCTCACCGGCGACGAACGTGCTCTCATTAGGGAGGCGTTCCGCTCCACCCCGAGAAACATAATCAACTGGGATAGAAGAATGGAGTTCTTCCCCCAGTTTATAGAAAACCCCAGGGTTGACAGATGCTCTGTTAAATTCCTGGTTTGCTCCGACGCCCCGCCCTCAGACCGGGCACATCGGAGCAGATTGTCCCAGTAAAATAAAACCCTCGTTCCTGCCGTGTGCAGTGGCTGCAGCGCGTTCTCCAGACATTTGGAGAAAGTGCGCTGGGCTAGCGAGTAGCCGAAGGGAGGCATTCGTGCGCGCGTTCCGACAGCAGACGTGTGCTCGAGGTCACGTGAGCAACGTCTGAGGATTGGTTTCGCGCCCTTACCGCTGTCGCTCGTACCAGAGAACTGGGAGCGACCCATGGAGGGCTGTGCTCGAAAGGGCGAGTGTGAAACAGCTGGAAGAGGCTGATCCGCACCGCAGAGCATGGAGTCCAAGGATGGAGGACGAGTGGGAGCTGGGCCTGTGCACGGGAACGACAAAGTGCCAGCGGATGGAGCCGCGCAATGTGCGCGCTTTGCGCGTGGTCGCGACAGCTCCATGACATCCCGTCCCACCCAACGTTGTGGGGGAAGTGGGATGAGTCGGGCCTGGTCGATGTGACATTTTTTGGGTTTTATTTCAAAACCAAATCATTCACAGAGTTAACATTATAGTCATAAGCACACACATTCCCCCAACGAGTTGTTTTCGGCGAGGTTCCTGTGACTGAGAATGCCAAGGCTGTCTGCTGGCTCCTTCGGAACCGTTGGCCGCCAACTCCCTGGTACCGCCTCAGCGGGAGGCCGGCTCCGCGGGGCGGGTCGTGCAGCTGGGCGCATGGAGTTTCCGCGCCGTTCGTCCCATCCTCTGGGGGAACGGCCGGAGTGCGAGGCTGACCGAGAGTGGACCAGGTCTCGCACCGTGGCTGAAAGTTCAGCCGCTGAGCCCTCTAGATGACGCTCGTAAGATGGGGAGAACGTCAGAGGTGATGTGGCCTTCCAGCATCTCCCTGTGCAGGTGTTCAGGAATGGAGGGCAGGGCCTTGAGCCACAAGGCTGCTGGATAAGGGTCTGCCAGGCAGCAATGCGAGCAAAACCGGTGAGTACAGCAGCGCACAGATTGAGGATAGCATCAGCAGTTTTAGTAATGATGTTTTTTTTGACTCGACAGGAGAGTCAAGCTCCTCCACCATTTTGGAAACGCCAAAGGCGAGAAGGCGATGTTATTTCCTGCAGCGCCGGTCTGGAAGGCGCACTGGTGTGCGCGATCGGCGAGCCGCCTCAGCAGCTGGTCGTGCTTAGCGGGAACTGCTCACGGTCCAGTTAGGTGGTTCTTGACGCCACACAGCGAGGCCAAGTCCGACTCCAGTGGGGGAACGGATGGCCAGCCCAGGTCGGAGAAGCCCTCGACCTTGGTAATGGGCGCATATGTGGAAATTGGCGCTTCGAGCCTGGCAGGCTCGGAGAAGGCGGCGGACCAGCAGCTCATGGCAGCGGGGAAGCGCGGCCAGACGGGTTCTGGACGGCATGTCTGTGTTGCCCCGAAAATTCCCGCCAATTCATCTGCCTCAGGGGAGCCGGTTCTGGAACGGCTAGCCGCTTGCGGGTCGCAGCCGCAGAGATGATGGCGGGCAGCTCCTGGAGCAGTGTTCCAACTGCTGGCAGGGAGGAGCGAGAAGCCACTGGGGCAGAAGGACCCGCTGAGCGAGGCTCGTCGACCTCCGTGTTGTACAGGAGGGAATAATGGCTGCGGCAGCCAGCCTCGTCGTGCTCCTCACGAGGCTTCTCGACCTCTGTGTTGTACAGGAGGGAATAATGGCTGCGGCAGCCAGCCTCGTCGTGCTCCTCACGAGGCTCGTCGACCTCTGTGTTGTACAGGAGGGAATAATGGCTGCGGCAGCCAGCCTCGTCGTGCTCCTCACGAGGCTCGTCGACCTCCGTGTTGTACAGGAGGGAAAAAGGGCTATGGCAGCCAGCCTCGTGGTCGACCTCCGTGTTGTACAGGAGGGAAGAAGGGCTATGGCAGCCAGCTTCGTCGTACTCCTCGCTGTCGATGACATCGTCCAGTCGGGAGGAGCCAGCCGGCTCCTGGCCGACGTTGAAGAACCGTAACGCCTTGTCCTGCGAGTACGTGCCAGCCACCGGAATTTCCTCGTCGGTGGAGGGGGTGAAGTACTCGACCCGGCGGACCTTTTCAGCCACGGGCAGAGCGGTACAAAACGGGCACGAGGCCTGGGGGTCAAGGCCAGGCCAGCGTGGTGAGCCCCGAGACAGACCTCACACTTGGCGTGCAGATCGCCGCTGGAGATGGAGCCCGTCTGGCAGGCCGAGCAGGTCCTGGCGTCGCTGGACATGGTCGGTGAGTAGATTTTTCCTGTATAATTGCTCTTAAAGGAAGCTCTTAAGCTTGGCGTGAAGAGAAAACGGAGGCGAACAGTGGAGTCGCTCCACTTATATAACCCACAAGGGGTGCCCACGTGGTGGGCGTACATTTAAGCTCTTCATGATTGGCTGATGCTGAGATCACCCTTCCAATAGCAGCTCGCTTAAGGGCTAAGACTAGACGAAATAGTACAGTTGTATGTTATTTATCATAATTTTTTCAAATATGGGTATAAATTGATAAAAAAAAATTTTTTAAATATATTTAATTAACAATTAAACTCTCAAAATGATTGGAAATTGGTACTTTTATACATACATACATACATATATATATATATATATATATATATATATATATATATATATATATATATATATATATATATATATATCCTCCCTTTCACTCTCTGCTGGTGGTCTCATCCTTCCAAGTCAAGGTCCTCTACCAGGAGCTTGAGGGTTCTGTGAAGTATCTTAGCTGTTCCTAGAATGGCATTTTTCTGGACTGAAATGTTTGATGTTTTTCCTGGGATCTTCTTTAGTCTTCCATTCTGGGGGTTACTGGCCTGAGTGCCCCGATGAGCACGGGCACCACCGATGTCTTCACTCTCCAGACTTCCTCAAGTTCTTCCTTGAGGCCCTGTTACTTCTTTAGTTTCTTGTGTTCTTTTTTCCTGATGTTGCCGGCACTTGGTATTGCCACATCAACCACAACCACTGTCCTCTGTTGTTTGTTTATAATTATAATTATATCTAAAAATTTCGATTTTGTTTAAATTGGTTTATGTTAAAGGAGTATGGGGCAGGATGAAGAAACGAAACTCATTAGCGACGCACTCGGCGCTGTGAGTAACTGCAGCCCGGCACGAGAGCGCGCACAAACTCTTCTTCACTAGAAAAAAAAAGTTTCACAGTGATGTACGGCCAGAGCGTGGCTCGAACAAGGCACCATGTCGAGCGATGAAGTAAGTAACATTGTTACTTTAGTCTAATATTTGTAAAAGTCCATGACAACATTAGCTTTTTAATTTAGCCATGACACTCGTGATGTAAAGCAAGCGCTCCTTCCTATGAAATATTCATAAGCCAGTTTTGTGACTGGTGAGCAAGACAGTAACATGATGCTACTTTATTAGCATAAGGCTTTGTGGCTGCAGGTGATTTCTGATGTTTTTAGACAAATTACACTTATTATTTTGCACTAAGCTTACTAACAAGCTAATGTTATTGTTTATACATCATGTAAGAACATCCAATTTCAAGTCACTGATATTTGTGAAACCAATTTCATTACAGGACAGGCATCACAACAATGTAAATGTTTAGTTCAATAAAATGCATCAAATAAAATCATAATATCAAGAAGACCTACAGGGTAATACAGTAATTTTTATCATTACTGTCATTGATTTTCAGGAATTCACATTGGAAGGAGTGATGGAAGACAGTTCAGATGAGGAGTATGTGCCTGAGCCCGCCACAGACTATGATGTGTCGTGGGAAAGTCTGAGACCAGGGGGTAAAGGAAAGGGGAGAGGAAAAGGTCGCTCCGAGGGTCGGGGAAGGACACGCTCAAGGGGTGAGGGCAGCAGGTCGAGGTCCAGAGCTCCTTCAAGAGGACCAGGGCGCCGGGGCAGGCAGCGAACATCAGCTTTCAGAGAAGAGGACCGAGACCGGCTTGCACAGCTGAGAGCTGCCAGTATAGCTGAGATGCAGGTTGTTTGTAGCCATATGTGTAAAAAAATAAAATAAAATAGAGAGATGTCAAAAACTAAAACATCACTCACTGGAGATATGAATCTAGTCATGTAAACATATGTTCTTTAATTTCTAGACAGCTTTACAACACCTGAGCCAGGAGGAGAGAGATTATATTCTCGAGAGTGGTGACCCGTCTTCCAGGGGTGATGCTGGATATCCTGGAGTTTCGGCAAGAGACGCCAGGACACCATCTTCCTGATCTAGGGTGCACTTGCCAGAACTGCCGACGCATGCCTACACAGATTGAAAATCTGTGCTGTAGGCAGGTTCTGGAGCTCTGTCTAAGCAGAAGTGCTCACCTGGAGCTATACTGCTTGGATGAGGGCACACTGCGTCTAGTGAGGATGACCTGGAACGACATCTTCGCCTTAGAGGACAACCAAGATGTGGGCACAGACAACCGAGAGTTTCGTTTTGCTGCGTATCGTCAGTTTACAGTCTGGCAATATGGGCGTCTGGGAAGAGGAAGTCGGAGACCAATTCCAAGCTGCTGTGTTCTACGTATACGGGAAAAATTCCCTGATCCATTTGGGAATTACGCTGGCTACAAAGAAGCACCATTTAGGGTTGCAGACTAAAAATCCTAACCATTTATCTACAACTACAGTAGTTCCAAAACAGCACAATACCTCAAAATATCTTTAGCTGAAGACAGCATTTTCACCCAAAAATAAACAAACTGTTTGTGCAATATATATATTTTTTTATTTATGTACAAAAAAGTTCTGTTATTTGCATTTGTACATAGTATTGTTTTTAATTTCTAATAAATCTGTGTGCATGAAAGAAGTCATTCCTGTCTTTTGATGCTTCACGTAGCTGGGGCTTTTATGGAGAGAGGAGAACAGCAGCATTAGATCATATAGCAAGGCTCCATCCAATCTGGTAACTGTCATTTTCAACAGAGGTGGAAAGAGTACTAAAATGTTGTACTTAAGTACAAGTATAATTACTTTGAATCCAGTGCGAACCGTGCAGACAGTTTTTTGCAATGTTGTTTTTTTTTACTCGGTAACGGATAAGATATAAAAATGTAGCGAAGTACAATACTTACAAAAAATAATACTTAAGTAAAAGTAAAATTACAGATTTTAAAAACTACTTAAAAAATATAAATGCGCAAAAAATCTACTCAATTACAGTAACGCAAGTAAATGTAATTCGTTACTTTCCACCTCTGATTTTCAACTTGACCTTGGCACAACAGAAAAGTGATGTGTTGTGCAGGTAGTGTGAACATTACAAATAGTTCCAGACTTATAAATTAATTACTGGTGTTCTTCTGTATATTCTTACTTTGTGACTCATAATTGTCTTCTTTTTTCTTATGTAACACAGTTTGGGTAGATGTTTTTTTTTTTTTTTCATTTATATGCAGGCAGCAGAGGGACAATGTCGCCATCTGCTGCCTGCATATAAATGGAAGCTCAAACAGCTGGCGACTCTGACGAAGACGTAAGTGATCCGACTGAAACATTACAGGTAAAAATACATCTACCCAAACTATGTCAATAGGAAAAAAGAAGACAGTTACTGGTGTATTATAATTGGTGATACATCCAAAACTGCACAAAGGTGCAGCAGATGGCTTGTGAGACTGAAAATTTTATGCTGAGTTTTTTTTTTTTTTTTTTTTTTTTACCAGTACAACAATAAACAAAATTAGAATTGAGCTGACAAGAAATGTGGGATTTTGGTGAATGACACACCTGTCCTCTGCGAATTTGTGTCTGGACCAGTTCTGCCGTGGGGGGTGCCACAACTCCAGCTAAATTCCCAAGATTTCTTGGGTCATCGGGGTTGCGTTTTGCCTTTCTTGGGAGCGCCCCTCCATCCATACGTTTTCTGAGGATGCAACGCTGAAGTTCAGGGATGTAGCTGTAGTCTTTGGCAACCTTGACCACTTGTACGCGGTAATTTTGTGACTTTTTGCTGTAGAGCCGCTTGTATCTAAAAGACAAGCATTACAGGATTTACTGAAGGTCCACCTTTCTACGTTTTCATTCAACGACACAAATATTTTACAGTAACAAATCCAACAACTTATTTTGAAGTACAGATCATATTCAGTTGCCTTGAAGATAAACAAAACTATTAGACTTACGACTTCTCATTTTTCCGGGTTATATAATCTGGTCGGTGGTTGTGGTGGTTGTAATCCAATGCAGCAAGAAGGCACCTGGCTTCATAGACAGGAGGAGAGAAGACAAACCTGTTTTGCATGGAGAGGGGGGACGAGATTTATAAAAATTGAACCACATAATTTTCAAGGGACTTATTTTGCTAGGACGTAACACATGCTAGATATTTCTATTTGTCATTCATAACCTGTAAAATGTAATAATTTCAGTTAGTAATTATAACAAATAATGTACAAATCGCTTCTAAATAAAATTACCTTTTTCCAGCATACATGAGAATGCAGTTCTGGAAACTCTCCAGTTCTGAAGTTGACCTGTAAAATAAAACAAAAGCTACAACTTTATAGATTATTAGGAATCACACTTTTGATTGTCTTTTCACCCACAATTGTCATTTCTATATGTAAATTGTCAGCTTTGATACTGACACTTTAGCTTTTTTGCTTATGAAAATGTTATAAATATACCTAAAGGTCAGATACTTGGTGACATCCTTCAACCAGCGTCTGTTGAACATGATTCATTGAAGAGCCTCGTGTGGTGGAGATCCTGGCACCATGAGCTCTTTATCACAGGTCGTTGCATCAAGTGGTCCATGGTCACATTTGCCACGGGTCCACTCATGCTTCCCTGTGACATGGTGAATCACACCCACCCACATGTCCTAACAGAAAAAATAAGTTTTATTTGAAAACTTTACTTTTTTTTTTTTTACCAACATTCACATTGCTATTGAAATACGTAAATTTCACGCACTTCCTATATTGGGCCAGAATTTGGTGACTTTTTGGATATGCTAAGACCCCCTAAAGGCCCTTCAAAGACACGGAAGAAAAATAAAAAATAAATAAAATAAAATAATAATAATAAACGGAGCAGATACAATAGGCCTTCGCAGCTTCATACACTGCACACACAGTCATACACTGGTGGGGATGAGCTACGATGTAGCCACAGCTGCCCTGGGGCACACTGACAGAGGCGAGGCTGCAGAGCACAGGCGCCACCAGACCCTCCGACCACCACCAGCAGGCAAGGTGGGTTAAGTGTCTTGCCCAAGGACACAACAGCAGAATTCTCTGTCCGGAGCCGGGATCGAACCTGCAACCTTCCGATTACTGGACAACCTGCTCAACCTGTTGAGCTACTGCTGCCCAACAGGAGCGTCCAATAGAGAGTGCGAGGGACCACAGACCTGCCCCCAAAGATGCATAGGAGACGGGGGGAGCTCCAAGTCCCAGAGATCCAGGCGCTGCCCCAGAACACAGGAACTCCAAGGAGACTGCAACCAGAAAGGCCCCCGCCCCCCTCGAGAGGCACAGAGGATCGCCCCGGGGGGCCACAACCAGCAGCCGGCAGAGTCCCGGGAGACATCAGCGGCAAGCCCTCAGGCCCGCCCGCAGCCTCCCATCCCCTAGCCGGCCAAGCCCGAAACCCAGCGACCCGGGACCCAGGGGCGACCACCCCCGCTGGGGACCCAGCAGAGCCCAGGGACCCAGACCCCTCCAGGCAGCCACCGGGATTGGTCAGGCAGACGCCAAAAATCTTAAACTCCCTGCCCCGGGAGCCACGAACACTCAGGCAGACCAAGGCACCGCACTCCACACCAGGTGTGGCAGGGGGAGGGGAGACGAAGATCTATATCATCAAAAGAAGTCCCAGGAGAGGGGAGGAGTCAAAGGCCCCACCTGACATATACAGTCATACACAAACACAGTCACACACTCCCTCCCTCATGCTCACACATGCACATACAACCAAAGACTTGCAAAAATGCACGCCGGACATCCACTCATGCTCCCCATACACACCCTATTCACTCTGGTCCCGGTACTGCTGCACATGGGGTACAACCATCACCGGTTACCAGAGTTTGACCCTTTCTGCTGGGGTGCTGATGAGCAGGCCCCCCCGCCCAATGCTGAGCACAGCAACCCACCACCCCAGACCCCAACCAGATGGCCAGATCTCCCTCCTAGCCTCCAGCCCTAGGAAGCCAAGCAACAATAAGTTTTGATAAAAGGATGAACAACTAAGTCCGTCAGGGGTGCTTCTGAGTTAAAAAATGCTCATGAAATACGTATGTGGAGTAACCAGGTAGGTAGGTTTTAATGCATATCTGCAACGCTTGCCTCCAGAGGGTTATTTACAGCAGTGCCTGAAGTGGAAAAAAAGTACTGATACTCTTAAAAAATGTCAGACCGGAATAGGGTGGGCGGTGGATTGATTGATTTCCGCTGCGGGGGTGGATGTGTGTGTGTGTGTGTGTGTGTGTGTGTGGTGGTGGTGGGGGGGGGGGGGGGGGTAGAGCCCCTCTGACCTCATGTAGATGGAAACTGCAAGCAGCTTTTGTTTAGCTGAAGATTATTTTCAGTAACTTTAGAGATTACCACTAGCTCTTATGTCACACCATGCCGGCAATCAGCATAATACTGCCACCACGGTGTGTCTTATGAACGCGACATGGTGATGCAGGAATTTTGCGAAATTTGTTCCGCTACACTTGGTAATAATATAACCGCAACGGCTGACTTTTAAATGCATATTACACCTTGGCGCAACAGAAGGAGGTGTCATGATCACATGTAGAATTACTGCCAAGCTCTGGCCAGCAATTATATTGAAAATGAAAACACGGGCAGTAAGTTTCGCTTTTGTAAACAGAATCAGCTGAGATGATAAACTGGAGGGATGAAGGGCTCCGGGAGCTTCAGTTACAGCTTGAGGTCAGATTACCAGAGACTGCACAGGGCATGGGAAGGACCGCCACCTTTAGAAATGGCTTGTCGAAAAAAACTAACAAGCGCGGCTTTGATCACAGCCAATAGCAGGAGTTCAACCACCAGCTGGTTTAACCACCAAGTGGTTCCTGAGCGGCTCGCCGCTCTCCCAGGGTATGGGTCAAATGCAGAGAATGAGTTTCATGCATCTGTGTGTGATGACCAACGGGACCTGATTCCTACTTATTTAGGATACTGTTAAGTTTCTTAGCACCTCTGTCAAGCTATAATATTTTTGTCATTACGCTGTTTACACCAAAGCTCTTCTTTACTTTTCCATTTCATTGCATTCTCATTATGTCATTCTGTTGGCGGTCTGAGTGCAATTGGTGATCAGTCGTTTTAGTGTTGTTGCATGTGATGGAATCAGTGATCGTGGCCCTAATGCATTCTCTCTGTCTCCGTCTGGATCATGATCCAACAATCCATCCATCCATCCATCCATCCATCCATCCATCCATCCATCCATCCATCTTCTCAACCCGCTTTGTCCTCATAGGGTCGGGGGGGTGGGGGCGGCTGGTGCCTATCTCCAGCAGTCAACGGGCAATTAGGCGGGGTACACCCTGGACAGAGAGCCAGTCCATCGCAGGGCTGATCCAACAATCCTTCTCAGGGAATGAGTCATGCTCACTTGCAAGTCAGACTGTTTTAGCTCAGGCTGACAGCATTCCTCACAGCTAACATAATGGCCCCTAATCAACTCAAGGACAGATGATAATAAAATTCATTTATATACGTCATTAAAATCATAAAATGGATAAAAGAAGTTAATAGTGAAGATGACTAGAATGAAGTACAGAGTGATTTTCCTAAATCCCTTTTTAATGTATATTAGTTTGAATCAGACCCTTTTTTCTTCACAATGGATCATATTTGGGTCTCATGTCGTCCACACTGCTGTATTAATATTTTACACAATTTCAATCTATTTTAAAGACTTTGTATCACACTCTCTGTAATTACAATTTTTCAAACCCAATTAAAAATTAATCACTGTGAAGAATTGTATTTTGTACCTCACTAAAGAGACTCCCTTTGTTCAATACAAGACTGTTTAACAGGATTCACATCAGTGAGGATGAAATAAGAAAAATAAAGCGTTTGATATTACCAGATGCTGGAGCTGCAGCTTTTTTAGCTTCATATGGATACAGTGTGAAAGTTTCTGTTCATTTAAATTCAACTTTAATAACCATTATCTATTCATTTTTGGCAGCATATCAAAGGTCAGATGATGGTAGTAACAGATCAAGGAGGAAAAATTTTAAATCTTTCTGCTTGGTAACTTTCCAGGTCTTCTTCAGAAACCCCATGGTCTCCATAGGCAAGAAAGGATTTGTAATCCATCCAGGAAGTTCTAGGTCACCTTAGAGTTCTAGTGCCATGTGCCCAGAGAATCTTCTGATAGGGATGGCTGGAAGCAATCTTAATCACATGCTGGACCCACCTTATGGCATTTTCACATCTGGTCCGGTCTTGGTAGCGTAACACCCAGAACACACCAGATGCGGAAGCGTGACTATGTGCCACAAAGCGCTGTGGAACGACGAGCACTTCTAATCGGCGCCCTTGTCAACCTACACTCTCGGTCACATCAGCTGCGAAGCGCCGCGAAGGCTCACGCCGTGCAGCGATAATTTCGGCGTGAGCTCAAATTTTTTCGTGAGCTGCATCAATTCTGGCAGGAAGTCAAGCTCAAACAGAAGAGGCAGGAGGGTAAATAAAATAAAAGTGTCTACCGTATTTTCCGGACTGTAAGCCGCTACTTTTTTCCCACGCTTTGAACCATGTGGCTTATAATGAGGAGCGGCTTTACTTAAGATTTTCCTTCACCTGCCAGGGGGCACTTTAGCAGAAAGTGAAACAGGTGGAAGTCAAAAGTAGAAATTGAAGAAAGTGCTCATTTTAATTTAGCACATGCAAGCAGCCGGCACAACGAAGAATTTATAGCTGAACCTTTCAACAAGATTGATAGTGTTTTGTTGTTAATATATACTTGACATTTCACTTTAAAGAACAAGTCATTTAACAAGTAATTTTCTAAAAGTGTCATCCAAACTACTTTTAAACAGAACCCGTCTCAGCTTAAAAAAACACTGTCACATGACAACCCAGAGCAATATTTGGAACAATTGCACTTTGTCATTGACAAACACATAATATTCAACAAACACAACAGACCTGCTGTTCAGAAGTGTAGGGACTGCATTCAAGTTGGCTGCCTAGGTAAGAAGTTTGTTTTTCAGAGTCATGTACCTGGAGCTTGGTTTTGGGCAGAGTGTATCAAGACCCACAAAAAGTCTTTGAAAAACTTTAAAAGTTCTGACAAGTTTGGTAGGATACTGGAGGTTCAGGGCATATGTCAGACTGAGAAGCATGCTGCATGCTTTGGCTAGGCTGCAAAGATTAGTGAGCACTGGCAATCCCTCGATGATTATTCCTACAGCATCTGGATCATGGCAAATGTAGATCATCATGCTGCGCAGTTTTAGGTCCTCATGCACACTGGTCTCTGGGCTTCCCTTACTGACAAACAAAGACAACGGCAAAACATCTCAATAAAAAAAGTAACACAAATACCAAAATCATCAGTTCCTGACTTTGTAGCCAGAATTATTTGTGTCTCAGTAAAGTTATTTTCTATGGCATTTTTAATGCGAATGCTGAATTACCTGAAGAGCTAACATTAAATAACTTAAAAAAGCTTTAAATTGTATGTGTTCATCTACATCAGCGGTACTCAATAGGCCACTTGCGGGCCACATCCGGCCCGCAAGCCCTCTCTTTGTGGCCCCCGAACCCTGCAACCTCTTGTGTATTTTCTGTTTACTGTGTAATCTGTGATCAGAAACAGCAGATGTGTTCTGACCATTTGTTTCCATGTAAAATCTA